CCTCTCTCTCTCGCTCTCTCCTCTCTCTTCTCTCTCTCCTCACCTCTCTCTCTCTCCTCTCCTCTCTCTCTCTCTCTCCTCTCCCTCTCTCTCTCTCTCTCGCTCTCTCTTCTCTCTCTCTCTCTCTCTCCTCTCTCTCTCTCTCTCTCGTCTCCTCTCTCTCCTCTCTCTCTCTCTCCTCTCTCTCTCTCTCTCTCTCTCTCTCTCTCTCTCTCTCTCTCTCTCCCAATTCCCCTCCCTCTCTCTTTTTCGAACACATCACAATGCTTACAAGAACCACTCGACGCTGCTGGTACCTCAGTGGGGCTCCACGCAAAAGAACGCGCACTTCATCTCGTCGCCAATCACACCGATTCTCTACCTCGTAAACGCTCTCATCAGCATATCAAAGCCCACAGCACGGGCGGCATCGCTTAAACGGCATGACCAGATGACTCATTGACACAACACTGAACAATACTTGGCGTATCATCGCGAGCGGCGGCTGGCTGCATCCGGCGGCGTCTCTGCGGCGCCGGCGCCTGGTGTCCCTCCATCGACCCGTCGTGACCGGTCAGGAAGACTGCCGTCGGCGTCGCCGGGCCACCAGACACGGGATCGGCAGCCACGCCTGGTCGCTGCGGCGGCGCGGTGCGAGCAGCGTCACGACACCGGTCGCCGTGTACGGCAGCCGTCGCCCGGTCGGTGGACTGGTTAGTTGGGCTTTCGAGTGCTGGGAGCGCATGGTTATGCATCAGGTGCAGGTGCTGACCGGCGGGAGTGAGTGGCCGGGCCCTCTCTTCACAGTGCGAACAGTGTTAAAAAGTCACGGTCACATAGCGGAACACAAATCATACTGCACTCTACCATATCTCGACATCCCCCCTTCCCCAAGTGTCCAGCGCTTGGTGGCGAGAAGGCAACCGTTTTACGTGCATTGCGGCTCCGCAGGGCGCCAGGGCGGGGATGTTCTTCATCGCTCAGTACAAGTTGCCTGTCACTGCAACAGACTTTTTACGTATCATGGGGCTAGAACACAAATACTTTTAATATATTTTTACTTTGTAAAACTTATATTTCAATACTAACACTTGAGAATACAAATACTTTTCAAGACTTACTTTTGGCAAAAACCTACTGAAAACTACTTTCCCTCTAAACAAGATGAAAAATGACTTGAAGCACATTATTTTCATTACTGCGGCAAATTGAGTTACAGACACTCCACCTGGTAGGCAAATTTCCAATATTCATTCTAACCGAAAGTGTACCTCAGAAAGAGACCACATGTCTGCCGCTGGCACCATACCCCCGCTGGTGATATTAGGATAAGTGATCTCGTAACATAAATCGATTTCCGCGAACACCTACCATTAACCATTTCATTGCTGTTTTTTGAGGGGTTATCAAGTTGCGATTTATATTTGCATACAAATTAGACCTATCTGTATCTGTATCGGTATGTGTGCGATTTACATTTGTATCGAAATCAGTCGCATCAAAGAGCAGAGCCGGCAAAGAATGCCGTGAAACGACAGAAGAACTGAGAAATGCTTGACCTATTTCTTTCAGTCATGTTAATTTTACCTATCAAGCTATCGACGTGGAACCGCCTGAATATCATTGGAAAGCCTAATATTGATGTTTTCATTCAAGCTGAGAGCACCTCAGCATAAGGCTCGTGCGATATCATGTTTCAGATTTCATAATTGATTTTACTGCAACTTCCTGCCATGGCAACAAAAACTTCTGCATGTCCAATGCATGGCTGAACAAGAAGGTTGTTGAGCGCACTTAGCTGCCTCGAAATCATGAGCAGTTTTCTTAAAACGTGTCATCCTACCTCATATCACTGCTAATTACCAAGATTGCGTCACTATTAAGTGAAGTCAACTGCCTCTGTCACCTTCTCCCAAGCTCGTTTCCAGGCACATTACAACTTTTTGGAGCCCACAATCAAAAGCACGGGCGGGGGGAGAAGGGGGCAGTCCCTTTCTCTTTGGCTTCGGGAGGCTCGAAAGGCCCACGGACTTCAAAAGCTGACCGGAGGTCGCATTGAAGCCCCATTGACTCAGGGTTCCTGGGTCAATGAGCAGCCACCTGTGTCCGTTCGGGAATCCACCCTTTCCTGGACAGAGGACCCCGTCGTGGCAAGGGGTCCTTAGATGGCCAGGAGCAGTGTCCGAGGGGCCCGAGGATGGGCACGAAAGGTCCCTCGGTTGGGCAGAGGGGGGGGGGGGGGCAAAGCTCGAAGGGCTAGCTGTAGGTCACAATAAGGACCCTGGCTCGCAGAGGCCGGAATATCAAATGTCAGACAAAAGGCTGTCACACACCGATCGAGAGAACCCGGGCTGTGTGAGCCTCTATTTCAGCCAGATATCACCAAAATCAACAGTCGGCTCCCGTGCCGGTCTGAGCCCTCTGGACCCATTTCCCAAGCAGGGACAAGACCGGGGACCCCGATCCGCATTGGTTGGGTCCCTGAAACAACGAGTTGGCCCCGTGTTGGTCACGGAACACTACAGTGCCTTACGAGGGTCCCGGAAGGTTCGCCACCCCTCCGCGTCTGCCTTGGCCAGAGGGCCTTCAAGGAGGGGACAAATGTATGGGGCACTCATCTAACGTCAGTGGGAAATAATCTTAGGGTACGAACAGATGTCCTACGGTGTTCCAAGGTACTCCTTTCAGATGCGTCATCATTTTTGTCCTGCCCCTTGGCAGCCGCTTAGTGCTAGTCGCCTAGGCTCAGGCCGCGCGGCCTGCGGAGACTGCAACAGCGGACGTCTGGGTTATTGCTTCAAGACTTGCGAGTGTGTGTGCTCAAAAACTTTATAGTATAGTGGCTTTACCTATCCGTTATAAGGAACGCATGCACATGTCTGGACAAACGACACCGGTAAGCCACATCATGCAAATTTTGGTTTCCATTTCGATCTACAATCGATGTTCATTTCACAGGGTTTGCATTTACTCTGCTGGGCCCCAACAAAGTCTGGAAAAAACCTGATTGATGTCAGTGTAGAGGGAGGACAATGAATCATTGTAAAATGAATGCACCGGAAATTACCCCATGCAGACATATAATGTCTGGTTAATTCAGTCTTCAAACTTCAAAATGCTTCAAACTTCAAAACTCAAACTTCAAAACTTCAGTCGGACTTCCAAAATGCAAACAGAATCGCATTCTCCGGTTACTTCTGGCTTCTGCGTCAGTTAAAGACGGAACCAAACAAGAATGAGACCAGGAAAATCGATCTCCTCAAATTCAAGTAGGCCGAATCCGGCGATTCCTTGTGGAGGCTTTTTTTTTACCAACAGGTGGTCTTCGTCAACACTGATCCCCGCGCCCCCCCCCCCCCACATACACTAAGACCCTGATTGTGCCCCCTCTGCCGCCACATTCCTTGTTGGACTGAAATGTCTTCCTGTTGCTCGCATCATCGTGGCCACGGGTAAAATATTGATGATAGCGATCATTGACTCATGGGACTCATCAGAGGTCCGATACCTATGTGTGTGTGTGTGTGTGTGTGTGTGTGTGTGTGTGTGTGTGTGTGTGCTGTGTGTGTGTGTGTGTGTGTGTGTGTGTGTGTGTGTGTGTGTGTGTGTGTGTGTGTGTGTGTGGTGTGTGTGTGTGTGTGTGTGTGTGGTGTGTGTGTGTGTGTGTGTGTGTGTGTGTGTGTGTGTGTGTGTGTGTGTGTTGTGTGTTGTGTGTGTGTGTGTGTGTGTGTGTGTGTGTGTGTGTGTGTGTGTGTGTGTGTGTGACATTCGGTCACCCGCTTCCCTCCCCCATCTGTCATCCAAGACAGTGTAATCTTCAAGCACAGTCGCTATCTTACTCCGTTTAAATGGTATCCGCAGGACATGGTTCCCGTAGACGGCATGAACGTGATATGGCCCGGTCCGACTTAACTTCAAACTTCAACCGTATGGATCGCTTTAAAATTAATCGTTATAACTTGTACATTACCGACAGTTGCTACCACTATGATCTCCAACTGTTGCTTTAGCACGCTAGTTTGTGGACTTGGGCAATGCTTGATAACCTACAGGCGAGGAGGGAGGAGAAGCGATCGAAGCGAAGGGGATTAAGTTATTTTAAAGTTACCATCAAATTCAAGAACACTCCGGCTTGATATTAAAAAGTCCGCGTGCGTCTAAGACTTTGCACGTAGTAACATCCACATTAGTTCTATGATATAAATTCCATTCCATGAACGCCTGACGTTGTAGACATAAAGGCCGATTTTTTACGATCTTTAGATATGAGTTTCGAGCCTTGGCACCGAAATGGGTAGTTTCCATCCCAATGGCACGGCGTGCTCGTCCAGGCAGCTCGTTCCACGTGCCCCACACCCCTACCCTGCGGAGCACCCACCGTCCGAAGTCAGCCGCCTCGGCGACCGTGGTGGGCAGGTCGCGTCCACTCGTCTCCGGCAGGAAGGCCGTCATGCCGCCCGCCAGCAGGCCACACACCCCGAAAATGCAGAGCGGCAGCGTGGCCGTGTCGTCGCCCTGGCCACCCAGGTCAGGTCAGGCCAGCTCAGGCTACACAGCTGTGCCCTCGCCATTCGGCGGGCGCGGGCAAGTGGGTCCTGCCGGCCGCCTCACGGGCTTGAGGCATGTCTCCTTCTGGCCGCCGCCGAGGCGAACGGCGGGCGGGGGGGTAACGACAGCTCTACCCGGCTGCCCGTGTCGTGTTGTGACGGGTGCTGGCAGAGTGTGGCCGCAACGCGCGCCGAAAGAACCGATAACTACGAGTCCACAGCAGTTTGCCTGGCATGGCGACGGGTACACGCCAGCTTCCACCGCGAGAGAAGTCGCGGGGATAACTTGATACAGTATGCCAGTGACAACCATTCCAAAGATGACGACGACATAAAGGAAACCACCTCCAGTCGCCTCGCAAGTCGACAACGTTGTACAGCCAGACAGTGTGCTACATGTTCGCAACATCAGCGTTATTATGAGCGAACTTCGTCACCTTGGCTGCTGAACGCGCCAGCTTCTGTAGTTACCAGATCGGCGATGACCGGTGCGAGCACGGAGCCGATTCTTGAGCAGGCTGAGGCCATGCCCACGCCCATCACACGCATTCCGCTGGGCACAGCTCCGCCGTGTACAGGAACAGGAGCGAGAACGCTGACGCCGCGCCGAACTTGCCCAGCAGCGCCAAGGTCGTCGTCAGCCACTCCAGTTCTGAATTGGACCCGAGATGAGATATGTAACCCGCTCTCGAGGGCTGACAGACAGCACCCGCTCGTCTCAATTGCAAGCCACCAACGCGTGGCGTCCAATGTAAACCGATATTTAGACGACTAACAACTGATCAACTGCAGGTCTGTTGTGTCGGGGTAGGCACGCATGGTGTGCTTGAACTGGCCGAGAAGACAGCCGCGCGCGTGTGATTTGTTTGATCTCTCGGTTGTCCCGTATTTGACTCGTTTGGATTTACCGTCTCCATTTGACGATGTGGCCTTGAAACATGCATTGCAACATTTGACCGTACAGCAGCATTGCGGGGACTCGTTCACTCAATCAAAGAGGTGGCGGATGGCAGATGCGACTGGGATGGCACCTTTCTCCCAAATGGTAAAAACTCAGTCTTAAGTCTCGTTCATTCCCCCCCCCCCCCCCCACCGCTGAGATGAGTCGCCGTTGGGGGGAAAATATTCTAATGCATCAGTCAGCATTATGGCGTTATTTCAGCAGCATATTCAAGAAGAAGGAATCATCGCCAGAAAGAAACAGTTTGTTACTAGAACCATCGCTACGGAAGCAACCCTGGCTCAAAGATCGCCGTTGGGAGGAATGACCTGCACACAGCTTGGGAGAAACATGCCCAACACATAATTCCTCCTGTCGGCACATGCCGCACCTTGTCCGGGGAGCACGCTGCGCATGACTCAGTGTTGACAACGAGCCGGCGCATGACTCACCGTTGGCCGGCACGAGTCCTGCGCAGATGGCGCCCAGTCCGCTTAGCAGGAAGGCACCACCTATCACCAGTTTTCGACCGAGTCTGAAATGGTCCAGCCAAGCCGTATTATAAACACGTGTGTACCGCGGTTGTCGCATCCCTCCTCTCTGTATACTGTTTACCCAGCGGACGCGACCGGTATGGAGCCTTCCCCTAAGGGACGGAAAATTAACGGATCGGCGCACTTCCCAGCTTGTGAAAACAGCTCACAAATAGGCACATAGAACCATGCACGCGTGGTCGACACTTCTTTGCTTCTGATGGAGGCATGCTTCTGTCGTAACGTTTTTCAACTTCATCTCTGATGTGAAGCTTACGACGTTGCACAGGAAGAGTTGCCCTAAAACTGCGACAAGGCACTTACGGATTAAGGGTGAGTGCGCAGAACACGTACGACGGTATTTCAATCAGCATCGTGAGGATGAAGTTGGTGTAAACGTCACCTCCCAGGTCAGTGGACACCATGCCGATGCCGTAGTAGACCATCGCCACCACCAGCCTGGCAACAGCTTCGAGGCGTCAGGTGCGAACGGCCTCGGACCGGGGTCCGCACGTGACGTCGAGAGCAGCGTGTCCGCAGACACAGCTATGCAGCCCATCGTCGACGCAATCACACAGACGCGTAACTCCGTGACGTGGTGCTGATGGCGTCCAGGACCAGGTGGTAACACTATGCCATTCACTCAGGAATTGGGTTTCCATTATGACGTCACACAGAACAGCCCGAGCAGTCACCGCGAGTGCGGTGATCTGAACAAGCGAAAAGCGGGGTTCTCTCAGTGTGTCGGTGCTTACCACTGAAAAGCCAGGATGAACGCCCGCTTCAGGAGGACAGGTGACTTAATCACGCTAATGAAGCTTTCATTGATGGCTTGGGGCTCTTGGAGTGATCCACTGCTCCTCTCCTGCAGAAGTTGTAGGCGACTGTTACCATGTTAGCTTGGCACGCGCCCGGCTGGCCGGTTGGACACGCTTCGCTCGGGAAGTGGTCAGTTTAACGCCGCTGAGATCTCAAGAACCAAGAGATCTAGAGGCGAGAATTCGCAGGATGTATTGGCCTGTGCGTGAACTCATTTAGGTCAACGTTTGGAGTTCCTGGTTCGTGATCTTCGGGTTAAATTAGGTCAAACAAATTCGAACTCCAGACTGGTCTCCAAAGTGCCCCCAAAACCTAGATACATGCTCTCAGCAAAAAGTATCATGCTCATTTAAGGCTAGTGACCTTGTTTGACATTTCAAAGGTCATGGTGACAAAAATAATACAAGATTGATTTGAGTTTTGCATTTGAATAAGCGACAAAGATCACGCTAAGCATTATGTCTCTAGAACAATATGTTGACCAGGTTCATTTTAGGTCAATGATGTTTTCTGACCTTTCACAAGTCCATGGAAGATGTATAATGCGGTTTTCTCCTATCAATGAATTCAAGATAAGTACAAGAAACCGCCTCACGCAGCAAGCCCTACAGTAATAATACATATTGGCTTTGACCTTGGTCTGACATTTCTACTTGACCCTATGGAATTTACTGAATGGAATTCACTGATTCAATCGTTGTGTTGCCTAAAAAAGCATCACAGAGGTGTATGGCTTCGCCAAAATTCCGTTGTTGCATCAGATTAAACCATTTCCCAAAAACAAACTTTGCTGAATCCTTGACCTGACTTTGGCCTGTCGTTTGCCAACATGCTTGCAAGGTATATCTATGTTTTGGGTATCAAACGATCGCTATTCAGTTACCCAGAACCATGCAAAGCTTGGCGCTGCTACGCTCGAAAACCATCCCGTAAAACCTCCAGGGGGGGGGGGGAGGGGTCAAATTTACCCCGCCCAAGAGCGTGTTAAACGGCACCTACACACCTACAGAGAATATGTTAAAAGACGGGTGATTACACAAGAATACTGAAACGGACAAATTACGTTAGTTATGCAGTGCATTTGTGAGGAACGTTATTGACCTAGAAAAGACAGTAGTAATAGCGTTGTTCTCAGAGAAAAACCAGGAGAATGGATATTGAGACGGGTCGATATTTCGGCAAGCATACCTTTATTGAAACAATATAAGAAGAAAAGAAAGTAACTTCTGCTATTATTTCTATAAATGCGTGTTGCTGAAATATCAACCCGACTACATCTCCATTCTCCTGTTTTCTCTCCGGGGTATAAGGCTGTTATTACTGTCTATATATGTAGACAGACAGAAAGCAATGTCCACGTTCAACAGAATTCTTACAGGATCACACAAAATATGTGATTTGGACTCCAAATTCTTCCCCCGCGAATTTATACTGTTCAAGTGGGCGTACTTGTGAATCAAACTATTGCATGCTCAGGAGAGCAGTCATCGCCTGTTTGATGCAGTAGCGGACTTAACAATGAATGTGAAGCCGGCAACTATGCCTTTTGATCAGCATTGGGCAGGATAAAACATCATCACGGATGTAAGGCTAGAAGATAAAGAGCCCGCTCGACGTCCGCAGGATACTATAAATATATATATATATATATATATATATATATATATATATGAAAAAATATATATACATATATATCGTGTGTGTGTGTGTGTGTGTGTGTGTGTGTGTGTGTGTGTGTGTGTGTGTGTGTGTGTGTGTGTGTGTGTGTGTGGTGTGTGTGTGTGTGTGGTGTGTGTGTGTGTGGTGTGTGTGTGTGTGTGTGTGTGGTGTGTGTTGTGTGTGTGTGTGTGTGTGTGTGTGTGTGTGTGTGTGTGTGTGTGTTGTGTGTGGTTGTGTGTGGTGTGTGTGTGTGTGTGTGTGTGTGTGTGTGGTGTGTGTGTGTGTGTGCCTTTCGCTCCTTTCTATGAAACGACATGGTGTAATGCTTCATTTTACCGGGGTTGAGAACTTAAGGTATTTACCTTTTGTTCCCCAACAGAAATATCGCAGGTATGAATATGTTTCCCTTGAGTTAAGTAGACGTTCGTCGCGTGGGTGATGATACGCCACACCAAAGTAAAATTTAAGAGAATGCACCACATTCAAAGATATTCAGGCAAGCGTCAGATATAATGACATAAGCTCACTTCTAGCCACTGACTTGTTTTAGAATGTTAAAGACTGCTTTAGACAACACAATTTCGCTATTTAGTAAATGTCTTGATCAAAGCATTTTCGTCTGCTGATGTCACGGAACGTCTCATGACATCATTTTGCTGCCAGAATAGTCGTGTCAGAATTGCCGCTGTAGCAGACGGGCTGACTCACTTGTAGTACTCTAACTTTCCGAGAGCTGACGGTCTGTTGCTAGAGTCTGTTTGCGGAGCTTAATACCGTTATGTGCTCGTGCTTTGCCTTTTCTTTTGGTGCTCTCGCATATTTGTCCGTGATTCTATATTGTTAACTTCCACTCCCATATCCGGCTACGGTATTTTTCTTAACACGCGCCCGGATGACCGGCTAGATATCCATTTGGTGGGGGTCAAATTGATCCCCCCTTGAGATCTCGGGAACTAAGAGATCTAGAGACACTAAATTTACAGGGTTTTTGACTTGCAAGTGAACTCACTCAGGACAAAGTTAAAGATTCCTAGATCATAACCTTCGGGTCAAATAAGGTCAAACAAGGTCAAATTCCAGGCTGGTCTCCAAAGTGCCCCCAGAACCTAGATAACTTTCTAAGCAAAACGTCACATTCTCAGTTAGTGTAGTGACCCTGATTGAACTTTTGAAGGTCATGGTGACGAAAATCATACAACACTCCTCTGAGTTTTGCATTTGAATAAGCGACACAGGTTATGCTAGACAGTATTTTTCTGAAAAAATGCTGACCTGGGTCATTTCAGGTCAATGACCTATTCTGAACGCTAAGAAGTCCATGAAAGATGTATAATGCGGTTCCCGCTACCAGTTAATTTGAAATAAGCACCAGAACCTATCCCATACAGCAAGTCCTAGAGTAACAAAATAGGCCGGTTTTGGCCTTGGTCTGACCGTTATACCTGACTTAAGGTCAACGTAATTTACTCATTCAATATTTGTCTTGTGCAAGAAAGTATCTCAGGGATGTATGGCTTCGTCTAACACTCCGTTGTTGCATCAGATTGAACGATTCCATAGAAATTAATCTCGCTGAAACCATGGCCTGACTTTGACCTGCCATAGGCCAGCGACCTTACAAGGTACATCTAATTTTGTCATGCTAAACGATCAGCTATTCAATTTTGCTACAGCTATACAAAATGTGGCATCGCTGCACCGCGCCGTTCGGAAGCCATTCTGGAAGAACCTTCGGAGAGGGTCACTTTGACCCCCCCGCCACCCGAGCCCGTGTTAAGGGGAATGTCCTACTTTTGAAGAAATTTAAGTAAGCATCAAATACAATGTAGTAAGCTCACATATAACTTAGTACGCTTTAGGTTGAAAAGGCTGCCCTAGACAACATAATTTCTCTGTTTAGTAAATATGCTCCTCAATGCGTCATTGTTTGAATACGCTATCATACCTTCCAGAATATTGATTGAGACCCAGTTGAAAGCCGTTGTATCTGTAAGTCGTGCTCACGAACGCCAGATATGAACGACCCAACTATTCTTCTTTTTTTGCTTTGATCGCCAAATGGCCAATGGGATGGCATGATCTAAATGACGTTATTATGGCGTCATGAATGCCTGGCTGGCCTTGAAATAGTCTTCCCGAAATAACCTGCACACAGTCGCGGGCGGGAGCTCAGAAACTAAACGGGTTTACTTATGAGTAAGGGCAGAGCTGTGAGCTGCACCAAATGATCTTCCACGTGACTATTTCATTTCAAATCTGTATACAAATGTGGAAAATTTCCTTCAAGTTATTCCATCGCAGTTTTATTTCCGTCATAGCTCGTACCACTGCCTAGCCTCCCGTATTATGCGGCATAAAAAGGATTCATGTTTATGCTTGCCATGACCGCAAGGCATTAGTTGAGGGCCAACTGAAGTTGCTAGAAATGGTGCTGACGCATGCCAGTTTCGGATAACTCGATGATCATACTTTTCCTTGACCTTGAACACCACATGGCCAATGGGGTGGCAGTGTCGGGTGACGTTACTATGGCGTCATGCATGCCTCGATGACCCTAAAGTATTCTGCACGAAATGGTCTGCACAGGTTTGCTGGCGTCGTGCTCAGAAACCAGAGGGAGGTTTGAATCTTTAAAAGAGCATGGCTGTGAAGTGCATTGAATGGTCTTCATAATGGTTATTTCTGTTCAGAACCCTATACGGATGTGAAAACTGTAAACACCCGCTTTAAAACAACAAGTGAAAAGCTAAACGACTAAAATAGCTCTCGGTACCTAAGTCCTCAACATTTGTTCGCAACGTCAAATGATAACTTGAAAGACTTGCCTTTTATAGGCAACCCTTTAGTCGAAGTCATGCCTGTCACATTTTGCGTTCCGCCGCATGACAAGGTAGGCTTTTTCACTGCATCTCATGAAGCTCAAGGTAATGCAAACAGTTACAAACAGTATATATTTAGCTATGTCAGGTCATTTAAAACCCCGTTTGTTCAAATGTGCCACATAGACTAAGCCAAACAGAAATCTTATACGGACGGTATGCACCGCTGACCCATGTATGATGCCAACATCTCAATCGCTACCCAGATCTGTTTGTTTTGTCGTCGTATCATGCTTAGTTCCTGCGATAGCGAGATCGGTCTTCAAACACAAAATGTAATCTGCATGAACTGATCTGGCATATCACCCGAACACACCCACTTGAAGGGTTTCTGCCTCTCAATGGCTTGCTGTGACAAAGGCTATGTATACTGCACTTCCCACTATGCATGGGTGCACAGATCAGAAGAAAGAAAATGGCTCAAGCTTTGATTGATCAAGTAATGGATTATGATTTAAAAGTTCCTAGAGTCAGTTAGACATTTGATTTACCGAGAGGTGCCGGTTAACCGACATTGTAAAGCTAGGGACCGGCTATATTGACGCTACTCAATATTTTGAGCTGAGATCATCCTCAATAGTAGATGACCTCTTGTCTAGAGAGCATGATGCTCAAACGGGGTAAACTCAAGAGAGGATGATGCTCATCTACTAACGTCCCATCGTTGTTCAGCACAACAACATCCTGGCACATTAAAGGTCGTTTTAAATAACTTAAAAATTTTTGAACTCATAAGGCCGAAAACCAGGAGCCTGAATTCCTCCCTTTGTTTCATCAGGTAATGATTGATTTATTACACATTGACATTTATTGATTGGCTAAAGAGTATATTTCTCTAGCATCTTTCGAGGTGGCCTGGTGGGAAAACAAAGCGAGTCCGAGGGCTGGGAAAGGTGGGAAAAATGTCCTTTCAATAAAGGATAGTCTGCGCAGGGGCGAATTTTTTAAAATGAAATGGTGAGACTGCGCAGGAAAGCATTGCTTAACTAAACGTGGGCCGAAACAAACTAAAAAAATGGGTGTTTGTTTTCACGAATTTGGCCCACCTTTTCAAAACTGCAGGGCCGAAACTCTCCAAATAGATAAGGCAACTACACCACTGGAGCTGTGCATGAGGTATCTTGCTTTACTGCCCGACATCGCTATAACGTATTGAGCTCAAAGCAAAATATCCCGCGGTTTTGGCAACGAACGGCTGTGACCTATTCAGGATGACCTGAACCTGTCCTTCAGGACCTGTCCTTTTGGGAACAGATTCCTCGCCTGCAGATTTGACCCCATTACGGCTGTTGTATTTCTTCCCCGAAAGAAAGACTCCTTCGACTCTTTCAACTCACTGATAATGAGTGCTTAACATGGGTGTGCACAGGGTTTTGTGTTGGAGGGGTCTTAAATAAAGTTTTTCACTGAAAACCAAGTTAAGCATGCCGAAGAGACGCGAAATGTATTGCATGACGTCATACAACCTCGAGTGCTCTTGATCCACTCATTTGCACGTGTCTTCTCCAAATGGTTTTAATGTTAGCATTTAGTCGCGCTCATATTGATGCATACCAAGAATTGAGAAAGGAGAGGCACATGTCCCAGGGTTCACTATGCGAGTACGTCCCTGGTGCTCACTGAGCTCCATCCTCTTTGCTCTTAAGAAAATCCTGGCTGCCGCGCTGTAAACACTCGCACGCAACAAACGCAGTAAGCCTTGAAACGTGCACCTTGTCCGTGCACTGAGCAACACGTGCATGCATGAACCCCGCTTTCCAAAGCAAATAATTACCTTCGTGATCAGCTCTTCAGGAAAAGGTTTTTCCATTCCACTTGGCCACGTTTCTTAGCACCTCCTCGGCATTGTCCTTCCGGCCGACTGCCACCAGCCACCGTGGTGACTCAGGAAGAAAGCTGAAACGTCCCGGTTTCATCAGTCAGCTTAGGCATAATCGATTTCGTCGCCGAAAACTGAGACTGTGTGCTGGTACCTTGAGGCTGAGTTCGAGTCTGTCGCATGCTTTTGAATCGCATGAGTTTAGTTTTGAGCCGTGGTGACGACGTGCAGTTCGTACCTGAGTCGCAGCTAGTTCAGAAGTGCACTAATCTGGGCCCTGGTCTGAGTACTGGTGTCTTGACTATGAGTCCAATGAGCCCAGAGATCTGAAAGCACACTGGAAACTCCTACTTTAAGAGGAGTATTCTTGGCGCGGGTATTGCATTCAAAGAATGTGGCGTTACTTACTTGCATCTCTAACTGATTTTGGCAAATGCCGCTCTTAAAGGCAAAACAATTTAAAACTGAACCGACCAACCACCAGAGCCAAAAAAGCAAATAACGTAATTGCCTTGGCCATTGTGTAATTTGGCCAAAAGGTAATCAACGTAATCGACTTGGCCATAAGATAATCAACAGGCCGTTGTGTTGATTACCTTATGATTTTCAATTTGAATCACTCAAGGACTGCGTTTCCAGACCTCGTTAAAGAGCCTGAACGTGACTGAGACTGAGAGGCTAAGCGAGCGATCTTAACTCACATGCGTGGAAAGTGGCGGCATTTGCTCCTGATCGTGAGACAATTTTTTTGCCAGTGGCCAGTCTTCATACTGCAACATTTCTGCGACGACGTGCTGCATACTGTGGCGTTTTGGTTTGGCCGTGGATCCCATGAAATCTGGTGCTTACTAACGCCATTTAAGTGGGTTGAGCATTGGACTAATGCTTTAAGACGTTATGCCGTAGTAACCCGAAAAGAAGAGCATGACAATTTTACATTTCTGCTGCTCTGCACTCTTAAGGGCGAACAAAAGCCGGATCATTGAAGCATCAATTTTTGGCTTGGTATGGAAAACTTTTATCAATTTTGCCTTTACGCTCGATCTCTTCGACTCGCCCCGGACTGCTCTCCGGCGTCATCCTCGCCAGACCGGGGGTAAGTTGTTTCTCACCCCGATCCCTAGCCACCCGCGCACAGAACGGACAACAGTCACGGGAAGCTTTTTCCGGAAGATGATGGTAGGATCCAACGTGTTCGATTTCATATCAATTCTGAGGCCATATACCCAATGAAATGGCAAAATAAATCGATGAGTATCCAGATAAAAGTCCTGAAAATATATTAGATAACTATGAGTGACGCAGTGAGAAGAAGTGGCAGGACTACTAAACATCTCTTTTAATCATGGACGAGTCCGTCCACATTAGCGGCGATTTTAACAGTCATAATCTTTAGATTGTTGCCTGCGAAGACCAGGATATGGACTGATTCATCCAGGCCGAAAATTTCTGTTACGTTACTCAGCACATGCCCATTGCCCGGCAATTATTTGCGCTTACGTTGCCACGAATGACGTCTAGAACCGGTCCCCATCTGTGTACGTGTAAGTTCGGTTTAAAAGAAATGCCTACACCCCGACTTTGCCCATCTCTCTAGCGCTGGTAGAAACATGAGTAAGTGATAGCAATATCTTACAACCAATAGGAGCAGAAGAGTACAATTGGCGCCGAGTAGATCAGCTGCAGCGATCTCCAATCCTTGACGAAGATGGGGAACACCCCAGTCAGCGCTTCTCCGACGGCGAAGAAAGCATTAATGAAGATGCCACAGAACGCACGGGCCTCGATGGAAGTCAGCTCCATACCTGTGGGACACGCAAACGGCTGTGAAACGGTCGCACTACGCGCATGGTACTAACCAACTGGCATTAAATGTTTAACAGAAACAACGGCCAGCAAACAACTTAGCCGTCGTCGTTGCGTGCCAAAGACGGGGCCGTTCAATACGCGCCGACGTCCAAGTACCCCCGAAAAGTTTCATTGCATACAAGCAACGCGCACAATCCCGGAGAATCTATTTAATCCCGCATGACAGGTGTCCGGTATTTCTGGATTGGAGTAAAGTTAATCGAACCCTGGTACTTAATTGTGGTAGAAAAGGGACCCTGGAGTCATTGATTGGTCTGCCAGATGACCAGACCAGATACAAGCCGGTCAGGTCTTTTTTCGCCATATCAGGTATGCATGACAAGACATAAGCTTTCACTTTAATAGTGCTGCAGCTACTTGACTAGATTATAATGCGATTCAAATTGCATGTTAGCCTGTACAATGAGAGGTTTTAACATGCGCTCGGGTGGGGGTCAAATTGACCCCCAAGGCTTTCTCCGGAATGGCTTCCGAGTTTTGCCGTATTGCATAGCTGCACTTTGTTCAAATTTTGCATAGGTGTGGGCAATTGAATCGTAGATCGTCTGGCATAACAAATTTAGACGTACTTTGTAAGATCGTTGACCTGTGGCATGTTAACGTCAGGCCATGGTTCCAGCGAAGGTGATTTCTAGGGAATCGTTCAATGCGATCAAACAACGGATAATTAGACGAAGCCATACCCCTCTGAAATACTTTCTTAGGTAACAAAACAATTGAGTGAACAAATTACGTCCACCTTTGGTCAGGTATAAAGGTCAGATCAAAGCCAAAATCAACCTGATTCATTTCTCTTGGGCTTGTTGTATGTGGTAGTTTCTGGTGCTATTTCAGATTTATTGACAAAAGAAACCGCATAATACACCTTCAGTGGACTTTTTAACGATCAGAATAGGTCACTGACCTAAAATGACACAGTTCATCGTTTTGTTTTTAAGAGCAAACTGCCTAGCGTCATCTTTATCCTTTTTCCAAATGCAAAACTCAAAGAGGTCTTGCATGATATTGGTCACCATGACCTTCAAAAGGACAAACGAGGCCACTGACCCTAGATGGGCGTGTGCCTTTGTGCTTAGAGCAGCTATCTAGGTTCCAGGAGCCCTTTGGGGACCAACCTTGAGCTTGACCAAGTTTGACGTTAGTTGGCACAAAGGTCATAACTTAGGAACCTCAAACTTTGACCTAAGTGATTTCACGTACAGGTTAACACACCCTGTAGATTTGATGTCACTAGCTCTTTTAGTTCCTGAGATCTCAGAGGGGGGAGGGGTCAAATTGACCCTCACCCGAGCGAAGGGTGTCCAACCGGCCACCCGAGCGCATTTTAACTAGACGTATATATTTAATAGACGTATGCATAATCAAATGGCCTATTTCCTATCGAGCGTAAATGTACAAATCGTCGTTTTGCCACCTAGTTTTGCAGGCTTTACCTTCAAAATAGCTTCACCAAAGAAAGAAGATTGATAATTGGGAGCCGGGAAACCACTCAAACGTACAGGAACGTAAAAAGGTAAAAGAACTAAAACACTTGGTCTGATGCACCCCCTCCCTCGGCAAAATTCTGACGACGCCTTTGCGCTTGTGCGTTAACCTGTGCGGGATCCTGCGATGTTAACGAGCTCCGCTCCCTGCCTTCTGAATGTACGCGTCGATCAGTTTGCTTGGATCCATCGCAACAGACCCTCCAGCGAGGAACTTTCCAGGCAGTAAACATGAGGCGTCCCAGCCCGCAGCAAACTCGATGCTTCAGCCAGGCACCGGGGAGGGGGGGGGGGAGTGGATCGGCCTGCGCGGCACGCACATATGTAACCTCCCCCCCCCTCGCGCTGTCCCAGCCGGTAGCACACTCAACGCTTCAGTCAGGCCTCGGGCCCGCGCAGCACCCACACAGCACGAACGGCACGCTGAAGAAGCCGCAGACGACGGCTGCGGCGAAACGCAGACCGATGTAGACGCCGTAGTTGGGCGCGAAGGCCGCGGCCGTGCCCACGGTGGCGGTGAGGACGACGCTGGCCATCAGCGTCACCACCCGGCCCCACCTGTAAGGGACGGCGCCTGACACAACCTGACACAACACCCGGCCCCACCTGTAAGGGACGGCGCCTGACACAACCGTGCACGCCTGGGTCACGCGGAATGCTAGTGTGACGTGACATGCATGTTGTAGCACGTGATGCAGTTGTTGCAGTTTGTTGTTTTTTAAAAGATGTTATCCCAGCCTTTTGAATGGATGGATTTCTGCGCTCAGGGCTCACTTTAAGCAGAGCTTGTGTGAACCCTGACATCTACCATTCGATCGTGCAATTCCAGGTCAGCGGCAGAGTTTGGTTGTGAAAGTTTAACGTGCCACAATGTTCGGCACGGTGTGTCTCGCCCTCTGATGTCATCTGGCCTTTATCGCGGCCGCTGCCACCAGCCGCAGGCCATATCCGTCAAGATCAAAAAACGAGCGCCTAAAGAGACTCGAACTCACCCCTCCACGGTGTGTGGATGTGAAGGCGGGCACTGACCAACGGAGCCATCGGGACAGACAAGTTTCAGTTCTGTGTTGACGTTACGGACGAACGAAAAGCAGAGCGGTCAAAGAAGGCGGCCGATCTGAAACTGCGAGGCGTTTGAGCAAATCAGTCCCGTTTTTCTGTGAACAAAAAAATTAAACAAAAGCTATATTGTCATTGCCGAAAGCCAACGATGTCCACACCACTGAAGCAAAAAGGCCCCAATCGGGCTCCAATCAGCCCTGCCTCACGCCACCGGCCGTGTGGGTTGTGCTTACCTGTCAGCGATGAATCCCGTCAGTATGGACCCGACAGCCACACCAACGAAAAAGAGGCTGGCGCCGAACGGCCGCAGCGGCCCGCTGTCGCATACGAGGTCAAACTGCGCGAGAGAACACCTTGTCATGCGGTGCTACAACGAACATTGCATGTGCCCTGTCGCTGCGATAACAGGTGGCTTTCTATTGTGATCTCCGCAATTTCCCCTATGATGGCCACACGGAAGACACGCTGCTGACTGATGGCGGTATGCAGGCGACAGTGCCTTTTCTCATCGCTTAATAACAGGCATGGCTACAAATACACGCCACACACTCGCCCTTCCCTCATG